GATTCCACCAAAATCTCTAGATTTCGTTGGGCATCTGGCTCCAAGTTCCCGTGAACCTCAAGTTTCAGAGGATGCATGTCAGGGGGCCCCTCTTCTCTCCTGTAGAGCACTCTACTCCTAGCTTCCAGATACTCTCCTGTCTCTGCCGCTCCACTACGGTGGCCACACCAGGGGCGTCCCATGGTCCCGGCTGGAAACAAGATGCCAGGCCCCACTTCTCGTGGGCAGTCCCTCTAAATGACTGTCACGGAACAACCTATCCTCCTCACTCGGGTAAGGAGAAAGAAACTGCCTTTCCCTCAAGCACTGGCCTTCCCCACAATCCTGCACATCTCTCGTATCCTGTTAGACTGGTGGGTGAGGTTTGGCGGTGAGGCGGGAAGGATGGTGTAAGAGAACTTTATTTTCAAGATTTTATTTCGAAGTAATCTCTACACTCAACGTGGGGCTCGAACTCACAACCCCGAGGTCAAGAGTTGCGTGTTCCATCCACTGAGCTAGCCAGGCACTCCTGAGAGAGCAGTTTTAGTGGTAGGACCATTTCTGCTGCCTTTAATAAGCCCTGCAAGGGGCTGGCCAGTCTAGCTGCTGGGGGCTTTCTCTAGAATGTGAAGTACTTAAGTGACTTTAGTTTTGGGCCACAGCAGAGTTTAAGGACGCTGTTACATATATGCTAAAATGTGTACCCATAGGTAGATATTAAGTGATTATGGGTATATAACCTAGACCCTAAAAAGATCAGAACACCTCCCTGTAATCCTTCTCATATATAATTCACACACAAAAATACATTAATCCATGACAAGAGCATAGACGGGCAAAGAAGGGCAATGCGTTCTGTTTTTCTCGTAACTACAATTTTTATTTTTTCAAATGTCAAATTTCAAAGTTTTAAAAACATATATGCATTCCTAGTGCCCCAAGCACTATCTACAGTCTTACTGAAAGGGTTAAATAAGTGAATAAATATGGACATACTTTATGTGATCTACAAATACATGAAGGACCATTATCACATGTGACTGTATAAGAGATATTCTATATATAAATACACATACCTAGAGGTCTTATTTTAGTTTGGTACATGAAAATAAATTGGTGTCTGGAATAAATTTTTTATTTCATTGGTATGTACCAATTCATTAAGACTACAGCCATCTTGAGCCAGACTGACTGGGTTTTAAGCCTGGCTCCCTGATTTTAGGACAAATAGCCTAATATCTATGAGCCTCAATATCCTCATCTGTAAATGGGGATAATAATAGTGTCTATTACATGGAGTTGTAAGAATCAAGTGGACTAATTAATAAAAAATCACTGTACCTCAAAAAAGTGTCTGACCCCCAGTGAGCCCTCAAAATGGGGTTTAATTATATACTCTTAATAACTTATTAACTCTTAAGAATAATAAGAAATTTCTTATTTTTTCATGGATATTGGTATTTTGAATATTAATGATAGAAATTAAATGGATCAAATTAGGATTTGCTTTGTGATGCAGTTGGCTTTTAAACATTTACCTAGAGGAGCGCTTGGGTGGCTCGGTAGGTTGAGCGTTCAACTTGAGCTCAGGTCATGATTTTGTGGTTTGTGAGTTCAAGCCCCATTTGGGGCTCTGTGCTGACAGCTCAGAGCCTGGAGACTGCTTCAGATTCTGTCTCCTTCTCTCTCTGCCCCTTCCCCTCTCGCACTCTGTCTCTATCAAAAATGAAGATACTTAAAAAAATTTTTAAACATTCACCTAGCTACCTGGGGGTAGGGACTGGAATAGAATGAGATGTCTTAATATGTCAGTGTTAGCCTTACCTACCATCGGGGTAGTAGCCATACAGGCAGCAGCCAGGAACTCAGGGAGTAGGCTAATTAGCCACCCAGGCAGGACAGACAGGGGAAACAAATGAAAATGTACATGACTCTCTACATACCCAAGACTGACCCTGGAGATTCGTTACTCAGTAACAGATCTGTAAAACTCTCTGTTCCCCTTCTACCTCACACTTGCTTTCCTTCTGCCGTTTGCTGTGGGCTATATTCAGCTCTCCTTTGAAAGGTTTGCAGATTAGCACTGAAGGGAAAAGTTTGACCTAATGATTGTTTTCAAATGGCTTCTCAATATTTCATTTATTGTTTCAGCCTCGTCGCTTTCCTAACTTCTGATTGTGCACAGCTCTTATCAGCTTTATTGGCTTACCCGACTCAAATTGATTTCGTTGAATTTTCTGGAACTGAAGGCAGACCGTTTATATATTTATTTCCTCACATCTTTTCTATTTTTACCTTTCCATTTCAAGCTTTCAGTCTAAACTTAACCATAGATGCAAAGTCTTAGCAGTCTTGATCTTCTCTGCAAATATTTGCCAGGTTGTAATTTTTTATTTGTTATCAACAGCCAAATTTAAACAAGGCTAATCTTGTTCTAATTTGGTTTGCATAAGCCCCAGTCTTGGTACTTAGAGAAAGCAAATGCTAATTTCTTGTCCTTTCTTACGTGTGTTTTCCCCTTCTCCCTCATGGACTGCAGTTAATTTTTTTTTTTTTTTAATAAAAATTATTTGGGGCAGTAGGAACCACATTTGCACCTAATGTTTAAAAAGAAAGCATTTTGGCAGGAACACACTGAAGTATGTAGAATGGTTGGCGGATCTGTTTGTTAGCCTGATCTTCTTTCCCTTTTTAGTTCCTCAGGGGGTGCCGCTGGTGGTCCCAGCTTGTTGAAGGCGCCCTGCAGCTGCCGCAACCCTGAGTGGCAATTTGCTGCCACCGTTGGGATCCTGTGGAGGCTGCTTGCTGCAGGCTGGGTTATGTAGATGGCAGCGGTAGAATTCCTAGTTTGGTGTGTGTGTACTTGGACTTCCATATGTTGTGTGCATATATGTGCTGTCTGTAGGGCCAGAACTTCTGACTGAGTGGCCAGGGTGGGCAGTGGGGGGTGGGGGGTGGGAGTGGGGTGCTGTACGTGGCTTTGGAGTATATCATGAGAGGTTTTCTCAAACCCTAATTTCACTTTTAAAATAGGTATCTTATCAGAGGCTAATTCAGATTCTAGTCTGTCAAACAATAGCTTGTAAAGGCACATGTCCATACTTCCCTCCATCTACTGGTCTCAGGCTGCTTCAGGAGCTCTGTTTCGGGCTCATGGCTGCTGGCTGCTGTTAGAACAGCAATTCCTCCTCACCTTTCTGCCCCGGAACTCACAAATCCTCCCTGGACACTAAAGCTTAGCCTCCTCCAGGAAGTCCTCAGCGCCCATTCCAGTCCTGAGTTGCCTCTCTATAGTCTAACCCAAGCATCAGGACACTATTGCTTGTAGGTCAACTCCAGCCAGCTGTCTGTTTTTGTAATGAAAGTTTGATCAGGATACAACTATGTTCATTTGTTTACATGTTGTCTTTGGCTGTCTTTGAGATACAATGGCAGAACTGAACAGTTGTGACAGAGATAGGGTGGCACACAAGCTTAAAATATTTACTTTGTATGGGGCACCTGGGTGGCTCAGATGGTTCACCGTCTGTCTTAGGCTCAGGTCATGATCTCATGGATCATGAGTTCAAGCCCCATGTCAGTCTCTGTGCAGACAGCTCAGAGCCTGAAACTTACTTTGGATTCTATGTCTCCCTCTCTCTTTGCCCTTCTTCTTGGTCCCTCCCCTGCTCATGCTCTCTCTCTCTCTCTCAAAAATAAATAATAACCATTAAAAAATTTTAAAAATATTTGCTTTGTGGACTTTGTCAGAAAAAGTTTCCTGACGCCCTCTCCTAAAATGAAAGGCCTAATGCATGAACCCCCCCACCCCCCCTGGCATGATATGTAATGAATGCCCCTCTTGGGAAGTTTGTAAAACTCTCACTTCAGAATTTAGTATGGTTTTTTTTAAAAAAGATTTTATTTTTAAGGAGTCTCCACACCCAATGTAGGGCTCAAACTCACAACTCCAAGACCAAGAATCACATGCTCTACTGACTGAGCCAGCCATACACCCCAAGAATTCAGTATAGTTTTTTGTTTTTGTTTTTGTTTTTTTTTTTTGTTTTTTTTTTAGCAGTTCCCAGGGATTTTATTCACTAAACAAAACAATCTCAAAATTACACTCGGAGATTGGGGTGATTTCCCTACATGGAACAAAGAGCACCCACAGGCAATTTCATTTTCTAGAGACAACATCCATTTATTGCCACTGTTAGGTGATTGCAGAAAAGGCTTTCAGAGCACAGTTTTGTTCCTAAATAAGTTTCCCCCTATCCAGAACTCTTACTAGTTATTGATCTCAGTGTAAGAACATAAATCCTATCCAATTTCCATAAGGATGTGTGAAGATATAATTTAATCAAATCATTTTTGTAGCAGTCCGAATACACACACAGAATTAGAAGGTTAGCATTTACTTTAAAAAATAATTCTTGGGGCGCCTGGGTGGCTCAGTTGGTTAAGCGTCCAACTTCGGCTCAGTTCATGACCTCAAGGTTTGTGAGTTTGAGCCCGCCGTCTGGCTGTGTGCTGACAGCTCAGAGCCTGGAGCCTGTCTTCGAATTCTGTGTCTCCCTCTCGCTCTGCCCCTCCCCTGCTTGTTCACTCTCTTTCTGTTTCTCTCAAAGCTAAACATAAAAAAAAATTAGAAAGAGTCTTAACGGGATCCTTTTAGACACTCAGGTGTCCCACTTTATAATAACTTTTACAAGAATGGTAGGTATGGGGATGCCTGGGTGGCTGGGTTGGTTAAGTGTCAGACTTCGGCTCAGGTCGTGACCTTGTGATTTTTGATTATGAGCCCTGAGGCCGGCTTTGTGCTGACAGCTCAGAGCCTGGAGCCTGCTTCCGATTCTGTCTCTCCCTCTGTCTCTGACCCTCCCCCGCTCGTGCTCTATCTCTGTCTCTCAAAAATAAATAAATGTTAAATTAAAAAAAAATTAAAAAAAAAAAAAAAAAGAATGGTAGGTGAAGTGAGAATACATTTAACCAGTTCCAGAGCTGGAGTCATTGGGTCGGTCTTCTCTCCTGCCCAGCGGCCAGCCCATTCCCAGGGTGGAGTACACGGAGGAAGAGACGAAAACGTGGGGCGTTGTGTTCCGAGAGCTCTCCAAGCTCTATCCCACTCACGCTTGCCGGGAGTATTTGAAGAACTTCCCTCTGCTGACTAAATACTGTGGCTACCGGGAGGACAACGTGCCTCAACTTGAGGACGTCTCCGTGTTTCTGAAAGGTAAGACTTCACCAGTCTGTGTCTCCTCTTTCCAGCCAACATCCTTGTCTGCCCTCCAAGGACACACAGTGCAGCAATGGCCCTTTTTTACAAAAACGGACAAACTCCCTTTAATTTAAAAAGGAAGCAGCGATCCCGGGGCCACCTGCGGGAAGCGGAGCAGGGACTGTGGGCGGAGAGGGGGACTCAGCGGCTCATGCCACTCAGGGGCTCCGTGGGCTCTCTGGTGGTTGGCTGTGTACGTGGTAAACCCCACAGGGTATTTGCGAGTTCGGCTTTGAGCTTTTCCGATCCAGGGGAACTACTCTGTGGGGCTACATGGGGATGGAACGGCCTCAGAGATGACATTTTATTTGCTTTGTTAAAAATTATGTACTGCATGAAAACATATCATGGGTAATCTTGAGCACCCGTGACTTTCCTTTGGGGGAAACCGGTCAAATAATCAAAGCAATATTGGTATGTATCAATTATGTGCCAGGGACCATAGTCATGGCAGATTGAGGAAGGAAGAAGAAGGGGCACAGGGTCACCTCAAGTTCATGTCCCCTGTGTGGTCGCTCTCTTCACTGACCCTCCTGGGATGGCAACTGGGAGAGTTTGTAGAGGTGGCAGATGGGGGCCGATTTCATGTGGCTGCACTCCCTCCTCTGAGCTTCCCTGGGGTTGAGTCTCCGGGTTCTCTGTTCTTTTCTTTCCCCATTTCCATCACAGCAGTTGTAAAAGCAGAAGCCTTGTTGCCTTCCTCCTGTCCTGGAACTCACTTCCTCGCCTGCCTACCCTTTCTATTGGTGATATTTTATTCTCTAGACTCACTAGGCTTTGTCTAAGGCCCCCCCCCCCCCGGACTTCCTACCACCCTCCCCACCGTGTCATTGGTCTTTGTTACTCCTTTCCTATTGCTGCTGTAACGCGTCACCCCAGACCTAGTGCCTGTGTTACCTCACAGTGCTGGAGGTGAGAAGCCTAAAATCAAGGTCTTGGCAGGGCTGTATTCTTTCTTTCTTTCTTTTTAAAATTTTGAAATGTTTATTTATTTTTGAGAGACAGAAAGACAGAGTGTGAGCAGGGGAAGGGCAGAGAGAGAGGGAAACCCAGAATCCGAAGCAGGCTCCAGGCTCTGAGCTGTCAGCACAGAGCCCAACTTGGGGCTCGAACTCACGAACCGTGAGATCAGGACCTGAGCCGAAGTCGGACATTTAACCAACTGAGCCACCCAGGTGCCCTAGGGCTGCATTCCTTCTGGAGGCTTCTATTTCTTTGCTTTTTCAGCTTCTCGAGTCCATGTGCAATCCTTGGCTCCTGGCCTTTGCCTTGCACCGCTCCGACCTCTTGCTTCCCTTTGTCACATCTCCTTCTCGGACTCTGACCCTCCTCTGTTCCTCTTGTAAGGACCCTTGTTATCATATCAGACCCACCTGAGTCATCTAGGATCATCTCCCCATCTGAAAATTCTTAATCACCTCTGCAGGGTCCAGTTTGCCACATATTCCCAGGTTCAGGACATTAGGGCATCGGCATCTTTGTAGGGCTAATATTCAGTTGACCGCAGTCTCCAGGTATGGATACCTCTCGCTTTGGAACCATCACAAGCCTGTTCTTTTCTTTCCATCCCACTGCCACCACCCAAATTGAGGTCCCCATTTTACAGATTTGATGTCTGTGTCTTCTCCCCTCTGCTGTCTTGTCCATTGCTTCCAGATGAAGCTTCCTAAAGCAGTACTTCCTTCCTGGCATCTCTGCTCAGAAGCTATCAGTGGCTCCCCTTTGATTTTTTTTTTTTTTTCCGGTGAAGGCCCAGATAGTAAATATTTTAGTTTTTGTTGGCCAAGAGGCAGAGTTGAGAGCATTATGTAGGTCCTTAGATAACCATTTAACTGTGGCCATTAAAACATGTAAAAATTATTCTTAGCTCATGGGGTATAGAAAAACAAGCTGGATTTGGAATATAGGCCATGGTGTGCTGATCTCTGGTTTGTATGATCAAACTCAGAACTGCTCAGCCTCAACTCAAGGCCCCCGACCCAGCTTACCAAGACTGTCCCCTGTGACGACTGTGCTACAACCACCCCCACCCCGTTCTACCTGCGGGCTCTCATACCCTTGCTCACATTCTGTCTCTTGCTAGGAAACTCATGCCTCCTCTACCTATCAAATTCTACCTATTCTCCAAGACTCAGAGCAAGTCCTGCCTTCTCTATGAATCATGATCATAGCAGTCACCATGACAACCCCCCTCCGATTTCATTCTAGATCACGTGTTTATCAGGAGAGAGACAGGCATGGTCTGAGAGCAGGTACCCTGAGAACCCCACCTGGTGCAACGGGAGAGCCCCATGGGTGAACATCATCCATGATATGTATTATCAGAGAAAGAGACTAAGAGAAAGAGACTAAGAACCACTAATCAGTATCACTTAATTAGTGCCTAATTACATAATGTCTTATGCTGTTGTTTAACTGGATTATATTCTCCCTAATGGCCTTGCCTCTGGCATGTCCCTCTTTGTTTCCCACAGAGTTATGTGCGTATTATAGATTTACCGTGGGTTGATTGCTGATATATGGGAATTGCTTTTTACTGTGTTGTTTCTCAAACTCCAGTAATTAGAATACCAGCCCATAATTTTTGCCACATCTGTCTCTCAGCTTAATATTTTGATAAGAGGTGGCGTGGAATAGCACAGAATCTGGATGCAGAATGCCTGGGCTGAATTCTTGGCTGGGTAACCTCAAGTGAGTTATCCTAACCTCTCTGTGCCTCTGGAAATGGAGATCATAATTTTAATCTCCCTCACAAGGTGGCTGCAAAGGGAAATAACTACTATACCTAGAAGCCCTAAAGTTATTTCCTGATATACATTGAACATAGCAGTCTTAGTTACTGTTGCCCTTGCTGTTACTTTTCACAATGCTTACACAACCCGACACTGGGATCTCAGTCTGCACCATTCATTGGCACATAGCAAGCATAATTTACGTGTATATGGTATTTGTTTGTTAACGGACTCACTTTTAAATACCTAATTTATTTAAAAAGGAAACTTTGTAAGCAATGATATCCACAAATCCAAAGTTCTTGATAATGTGTTAGCTACATATTTTTTAAAAAATTAAATAAAAATAAGATCCATAACTATTCAAAAAAGGAACGATCTTCTGTGTACCCCTACTCAGGTCCTACGTGGGGGATATACTGATTTAATTGCATAGAATGGAAGAGAAGAAGAAAATACACTTAACTTTTTGATATTCACTAGGGAACAATCCAAAGTAAAAGCTTTTGGAACGAACATATTATTGTTAGAATTGTGGGTCTGAGGAAACCTGAGAACAGGAATATTTTCAGGTAGATACCAGAAATCCCAGGTTGAACTTGTTTTATAAGCTTAATTGGTTCTTGCCTTTTAAAACCATTCTAGCCGTTCTCAGACGCTCTCCTAATGAGATGAGGTTTTCAGAATGGGAGGCTTTACAAAGCTCGTGTCAGAGATAAGAGTAGCTCTCCCGTTGTAAATTTCCTGGGCCTTCATGAGAAACAAGCATTAGGTAGCCCTTAAACTGAGAACACTGATGACCCAGGCCTAACTGAGTTAGCAGTATAGGGCAGTTTCATAGATTGTATTTATTCCACTATTTTGTTTCCTCTTACCATAAACCAATAGACATGTAGAGCTTTAGTGTACCTCTTTAAATAAATAACAGAAATTAATATGATTGTTTTCATAATATCACAGAAAACAGCAATGTGGAGGAAGGAGTTAGGTGGTATTGACAATAGAAAGCTGTAGTGTGAACTGATTCCACAAGGGGGTGAGTTAGCCATGTATTAACTAAACACATACAGGCAGAATGGATCCCCACCTGGATGTGTCTTTTAGAAACATCCCAGGTAATACATGGTAAGTAAGCATCACCTGTCCTGTGAATTTGAGCTTTCTTATCCTAATTTGGTTTCTGAATTTAAATCTTTAACAGTTTTTTCGCTTTTTCCCCCCATTTTAATGAATGTCTTGTTCCCCTGGAAACCATCATTCGGGAGTATATTTTAGTAATCAGAAACCACAAACGTGATAGCTATAAACGGTATATGTCATTCAGTTGTCAAGGGGTTTAAGACCTTGATTACTCTGTTTCTAGAATCTCCTTATAAATAATAGGATGCCCTGCTTGGGCCCTCAAGTCTGGTCGAGTTAATATTTAGCTGGCTCTTCCTGTCGCCATTTTAGAAAGATCAGGCTTCACGGTGAGGCCGGTGGCTGGATACCTGAGTCCACGAGACTTTCTGGCAGGACTGGCCTACAGAGTGTTCCACTGCACTCAGTACGTCCGGCATGGCTCGGACCCCCTCTACACCCCGGAACCGTGAGTACCCACGTTGGATGCCTAGGCTGCATGAAGACCACCACACTGTCAAGTGGTCAGTACTCGCCGTATTTGGAAGTGACTTAGGCCCTCTTTGATCTCTCAAGTAATTGCATCAGTCTAGCCAGCGAGCCAAGTCCTCGCTCAAAGAACCAGGTTCCTCAGCTGGGTATGTGGGGTCTCCATATTCTCACTTTGGTTTGTCTCTCTAACTTTATCCCCACACCAAGCCTTTTGCTTTGGCCCAGCCGTTGATGATATTGCTCCTTAAAACATGTGTCATTTTTATAAAACCATGATCCCTATAGACCATTAGGACAATGTTGCATTTAAGAAGCAGGGCTCAAAATTCTGATAATAAGGATAATCCCAACATGCCAGGTGCTATTCTCATCAACTCATTTAATCTTCACAGCAATCCCATGATATAGATGATTATCTCCATTTTTACTGAGGGGGAGATGCAGGCACAAAGGGATAAGTCAACCTTGACACAGCTGGGACTCACGCATCTTTTCCCATGAGGAGGCACCTCCATGTTAAGGAAGTTCATGCACATCCACCATGGCGATTCTCAGGACTGGTTCCTTCTCCTTCAGTGTTTCACTTCACACCCAAAACTCAGCACTTTGTGCTATGCTTTTTCTGCTGTCTTAGTTTCTTGAATACTCCTCCAGTCCTACGTACCACTCTAGATTTATATGGGGTTTACAATTCTTTTTGGACTCTGTCAGCTTTCCTTTGGGGCTTTATCCTCTCTCTCTCAGACAATGGGAGGCCAACAGCTGGGTAAGCTGTGAACTCTCATGTGTTAATAATTTGGTTTTGTAACACTTGGATTGTGGTCTCCCAGTGTGAAACACTGACCCATTTTCTTTTTAAAAAAAATTTTTTTAATCTTTATTTATTTTTGAGAGAGAAAGAGAAAGACAGAGGGAGACAGAGGGAGGGAGAGAGAGAGAATGTGAGCAGGTGAGGGGCAGAGAGAAAGCGAGACACAGAATCTGAAGCAGGCTTTAGGCTCTGAGCCATTAGCACAGAGCCCAACGTAGAGCTCAAACCCATGAACCGTGAGATCATGACCTGAGCAGAAGTCAGATGCTTAATGGACTGAGCCATCCAGGCGCCCCCATCACTAGCTCATTTTCTTAAACTTACTGAATTTTCCAGTGCCTTCAAGGCAGACACAAATCTCATCTCTGGGACACATTCTCTTGCCATCCTCATGCACAATCACTTCTTCCTCAGCCAATGTTCTTTACTTTCCTTACCATCCACTTATTACATATATTTTTACCTTGCTAGATTTTAACATTTTAATTTAGGTCTTACATCTTCACTGAAATGGCTAACTACTTGAATATTTCCTTTTTTTTTTTTTTTTTAGAAAATACATTTTATTGGGAGATTAATATGTGCTTGGATGGTCTAGGAACAAGACAGTGTTTCTGTTCTCTTGGGTGAATGAGTGGAGGTAGGGGACAATGGTCAGCATACAAACACCTAGGTAATATGATAGCAGGTGTAAGTGCTATGATGTGCTAAAAATGCTGTAAAGACAAATAAAACAAGAAGACAAACAGTAGTGACTTCTCTTTTGGGTTGAGTCATCAGGAAAGCCCCTTGGGAAGTGACATTTGAACAGAGACCTGAACGCAAGTATCTCCTTTTTTTTACGTTTATTTATAAAAATTTTTTTATTAAAATTAATTTATTTTTGAGAGAGAGAGGGAGAGGGAGCATGTAGGAGGGGCAGAGAGAGGAAGACAGGCTCTGAAGCAGGCTTGCTTTGAGCCCAGAGTCCTATGTGGGGCTTGAACTTAACAAACTGTGAGATCATGACCTGAGTCGAAATCAAGAGTCTGCAGCTCAACCAACTGAGCCACCCAGGCACCCCTCAGTTTATTTATTTATTGAGAGAGAGAGAGAGAGAGAGAGAGAGAGCGCGAGAATATAGTGTATGCAAGTTGGGGAGGGGCAGAGAGAGGGAGAGACAGAATCCCAGGCAGGCTCTGTGCACAGAGCCTGACGTGGGGCTCAAACCCATGAATCATGACCTGAGCTGAGATCAAGAATTGGACATTTAACTGACTGAGCCACCCAGGCACAACCCCCTTTTCTTCTTTCCAAATATTTCCTGGTAGATCATTCCAGGTAGAGAGAAAAGAGCAAAAGCCAAAGACCCCAAGGCTGGAAGTTGTCACTTGGTCTCTACCCCCTTGGGCTCCATTTGAATGAGCGCCTACCCGTGATCTTACTCTTGTTTGTCACCCGTTGTTCTTCAGGATACTGGCATTATCACTTTGCTTATCATGCTGTTTTACTAAAACAATATTGTGATTAATGGGCTGCCCTGATCTTCACTGGGGAGCAGAGAGTCCTTGGAGTTTGAAGCCGTGGACTAGCTGATGTTGGTAGTGGTAGTGGAAGTAGGCAGGGATTTGAGCTGAGTCTCTGAAGCTCCCCTCCTCCTCTTCCTTGGGCATGAGGCTCACTGACCAGGTAGGTCTCAGACAGGGTCACTACATTGCTTTTTAAGCTCCTTTCAGCTTCCCGGAAAGTGTTTTCAGGGTAAACAAAGGTTACTTATAGGACTCAAGACATTTGGAAAAGAAATGCTTCTTATAGTGGAGTGAGTACTCAGAGGAGCATTGTCAGAGTTAGAAAGGCAATCTCTATATCTAGCCCAGAGGGTTTACAAATGGCCCTGTTTACAAATAGCAGGCACTTTGTTAGTTCCTTTTGAATAACTGGCCCCCGTGAGACCTGGGATAGCGTGCCAATAGGTATGCAGAGAGAGAGGGCAAAGAAATGAGATTTTAGCCACAGAGGTCTATAAAATTTTGGGATAATGTGTTACATTTTTACCAAAGTACTTTCAGCCAATTCATTCAGCAAACATTTATGTGCAATGCTGGCAGGGAGGTGCAGTGGATTCAAAGATGAATAAAATATAGCAGCTGTTTCTTAAAGCAGCTCACATTCTGGCAGGGGAGATAGAAACATAAATAATTATGAAAGTGTGGTTAGGGCTATAATGAAGGTGTGTATAAAGTGTGAGAGGAGTACAGAGCAGGGAGCAGTCCTGAAAGGCTGTTCAGAGAGGGTTTAAACTGAGTGGGGGTCTAGAAGAGTGAATAAGAATTTATGTTTTTGTACAAGGCAGGGTGGGGAAGGAGGAGAAAGCTTTCAAGTCAAGGAAACAGCAAGTGCAAAATTGAGGAAGCTCACAAGAGGCATAAAGAGCAAGGCGTGTTACATCAGAGTGACCAGAGCATGGGTAGGTGTTAGGGATGGAATGTTTTTTGTTTTTGTTTTTGTTTTTCAGTCCACAGTGTAAATGATTATTTGTCAAACTCGGGCAGTTCTGTAGGCAGCAGGGAGTTATCCAAGGTTCTTGAGCATGATCAGATAATTGTGTTTGAGAAAAATAATGGGGATTGGGTTATGGGGAGGTATAAAGAATGAACTAGCTGGAAAACCAGCAGAAGCTCACATTCCAGTGAAGGAATATAGTTTATAAGTTCTTGAACTAGAAAAGGTCAGTGGGATAGGACAAGAGGTAACCTATTTGAAAAGTGCCATTGTGATGGAATTAACAATATTTGATGACTATGAGGGTGAGGAGAGTGTCCTCAAGGTAATGCTAAAGTTTTTAGACTGGGAAGTTAAATAGATAGTTTTTTTTTTCTTCTAATAATGGCTGAGAATATTGGAACAGGATTTGGCTTGGAAGGAAGGGGGAAGGAAGGAGGGAGAGAAGAGGAGATTTGGTTTTGGGGAGTGTTGTCTTTGAGGTGCCCCTGGGTGGGATCTCCTGGAGAAGCCCCTGGTAGTTGGGAAGTGTTGGGAGTTCAGAAGTGAATTTAAAGCTCCCACTGTAGATGTGAGTGTTTTCTTCTACGACCCCCATGACCACACAGACAAGAGGAAGCTTAAGTCAGAGGATGGAAACATGGGATATGCTAACTTGGGGTTTTTTACAGAATTTTTTTTGGGGGGGAGTGGGTTTTCTATTATTCGTTGGTTTTTAAATTATTATTTTATGAGTAGGTAATACATGTACATGATTCAGAATTCAAAGCACACTGTGGACGTAAAAAAAAAAAAAAAGGCAGGGGGAACACCATCTGAGTGGTTCAGTCAGTTAGGCATCTACTCATGATTTTGGCTCGGGTCATGATCTCATGGTTCCTGGGTTGAAGCCCCACATGGGGCTCTGTGCTGACAATGCGGAGACTGCTTGGGATTCTCTCTTTCTTTCTCACCCTGCCTCTCCCCTGCTCATGGACACTTTCTGTCTCTCTCAAAATAAATAAATAAACTTAAAAATTTTTAAAAAATAAACTGTGAATAGTGACTTCCTTTCCCTCCTCTGCTCCCTTGACACCCCCTTCAGCTCCCCAGAGGTGACCACTGATGCCAGTTTCCACCTCACCCTTCCAGAAATAAACTGTGCAGACACAATTCTCTGTAAAGATCCCTTTAATTGGGATGTATTGCAAAGTCCTAAGTCCCTTCACAGCTGCAGTTGAATGGATGGGGCACCACGAGGGGGGAGGGGAGTGCCATTTCCTGCCCAAGCACTTTTCCAGTCATTGTCTTTGTAATGAAATCCCATTTCCTCAATTGAGAACCAACGAGAGGGCAGAATCTCCAATTTGTGAAGTTCAGCTTGGCTCCTGTGTTTGGTGCCTGTGCTCTGCTTCCAAATAACTGCCTTCAATTGCCGAACTGTTGTAGTAGAGGCAGCACTAATGAGACAAAGGTGAGCCCTGAAGACACAGGTAGAAATGAGAGTGAAAGCAGCAAAAAGACATTATCTGAAAAAAGAATTTTATTTTTGTTCTTGGTTGGGGTAGAATGTATTTTGATATCCTTCCTAGCTTTCAACAAATATTGGGTTTTAAACGTGTCTTTGGCCTGTTGCGGCATTTTACATTCTACAGACTCTGTGTTCTCTAAACTTGGCCAGATAGTGGGGCTTTAATTTAAGAAGT